AGAACTAACCGCTCCGAGGTGTGTTTAAATGTTACCCGTCTTGAGGTGGACTCTTTGCCAAAAGTGAGAAATAATTGATTGGTTTTGGCTATGGAATAGAATATTGTAACGACCCGGTATAGGGTGCTGTGTGGGTCACTCAAGCATCCCCCGGCTCTCTGCCAATCACAGAGCGGCACAGTAATGCTGGTCGGCGTGCGGGCCTGTGGTTGGGGGAGCAAGTGTGTGTGTGTGTGTGTGTGTGTGTGTGTGTGTGTGTGTGTGTGTGTGTGTGTGTGTGTGTGTGTGTGTGTGTGTGTGTGTGTGTGTGTGTGTGTGGTGTGTGTGTGTGTGTGTGTGTGTGTGTGTGTGTGTGTGTGTGTGTGTGTGTGTGTGTGTGTGTGTGTGTGTGTGTGTGTGTGTGTGTGTGTGTGTGTGTGTGTGTGTGTGTGTGTGTGTGTGTGTGTGTGTGTGTGTGTGTGTGTGTGTGTGTGTGTGGCCTGTTTCCGACTCCTATTGTGGAACGTTACAATATCATCATTTAATGTCATTATACATGTACAATGAAAGAAAAGCTTCTCCCTTTTTAAAAGGTGCCATCAAGTGCAATAACAGTTTAGCATGTAAGGGTGGTAACACAGGCAATTTGTCTAAACATTTAGCAAAAGTGCACCACATCCAGTAATATTTAGGCTCTATTTAAAAAGAAAAACGTAACATTGTTTGTCACAAAGAATTTTGTAGGATTTTGAGTCATTGGCCTAACACAAGTTAGTAATCATTAGCAATCAATTACCTTTTTTCATTTACCATTATTATTTTTCATTTCTGCTCATCTTTATTTTATTGCAGGTTTTTCTATCTGATGTTGGTGTGATGTAGAACAGAACCTTACTCTTTGGGGACCTCATGTTGTTTTGGTAAGTCAATTTATCAAACAAATTCCTTACTCTTCAAGTTTTGAGCAAACTATTAGGATTTTCGTTTAGTTCACTCTGCTTAGAGATCCAAATTATTTGTAGATCACCATGACCCAAAGGTGACTGTGAAACACCATCACTAATGTTTGATTCCCCCCCCCCCCCCCCTTTTCTCTCTTTGGTGTTTGTCTAGTTTATGTGGCAGTGTAAAGACTGTGGCGCTGAAGTGTCTAAGCGATCACAAATTCTCAAACATTACAGACTAAAACATAGTCATTTTGGGCGTGGCCATCATATTAAGTGTATATATCCTGATTGTCCATGCATTTTTAAGGCTTGGAATACTCTTTTGGTACACTTGTCAAGGAATCACACCAATACCTCAAAGCCCTCTGCTGACATATTTACTACATTTTCCTGTCATCTATGTGGCTGTAGTGAACTCGGAACAGAACGTGATTATTTTGTGCACATAAGCCATCATCTGAGAAACAATGAGACAGTCACTTGTATGTTTAAAGGCTGTGCATACAAATCCAACATATACAGCACCTTCAAGTCACACAAAAGACGGAAGCACAGCTTGCATTCATTGGTAGATTTTAAGGACGGTGTTGTACAAGGAACTTGTGTAGGTGAAACTGGAGAGCCTGGTGTTTCAAACAATGAGGACATTTGCGATGAAAGTCAGTTTGATGATGTTGATTTAGATACGTCGAAGGATCAGCCAGAAATAGAGCAAAAAATTGCGGCAGTGTTATTAAAGCTGGAAAATATTTTTCATGTGCCAAGTGCTGCAGTTGATGAATTGCTGGAAGAATTTCAATATTTGTTGAGCACAGCATCTTTGTGTAGTACAAGAAATGTGATCCATGACACACTAAATAGTTACAATCTACAAGTTGACCAGTCGGTCATTGAAGAACTTGCATCTGCTCTGTGTACATCTAATCCTGTGTACAAGGCTATTGGTAAAGGTTGTCCTTTGGCAACATCCTTTAAACGCAAGCAATACTATAAACACAATTTTAAAGTTGTGGAACCCATAGAATATATCTTGGATGAGAAAGATAAAAGAACGCTACAGTATGTTCCACTATTAAAGTTTTTGCAGCAGCTTTTCACTGATGGTCACATTCTTAACAAAGCATTAGACAGTCAACTCATATCAGAGGATAGAGGAGAAGAAGTGGTATACAAGTCTTTTCGAGATGGTTTGTTTTTCAAGGATAACCATTTTTTGTCAGGAGGTGAATTGCGAGTGTTACTGAATTTGTATGTCGATGACTTTGAGATTTGTAATCCGCTTGGCACATCTCGTAAAAAGCACAAGATCTGTGGCGTTTATTGGACTCTCAGCAATTTACCACCAGGTTGCCATTCTTCGTTATCTTCTATTTATTTGGCCTTACTCTGCAGGTCTGACGATGTGCGAACATATGGCTATGAAAGGGTCCTAGAGCCCTTGTTGAGGGATCTTGTCATTTTGGAAAGTCAAGGTATTTTTATTGCACAGCTTGGAGATTGTGTTAAGGGCACAATACAGTGTGTCATAGCTGACAATTTGGGAGCACATGGAGTAGCTGGATTTCTTGAGAGTTTTTCAGGTGGGTACATTTGCCGTTTTTGTGTGGCACAAAAGTCTGAAATTCAGGAGAGGGAAGTGAGTTCAGGTGCATTTACTCTCCGAAGCAAGGAGATGCATGAAACGCATGTCAGATCAGCACAGGAAAATCAAAAACATTGTTATGGTGTTAAAAGAAGTTGTGTTTTCTCTGCACATCTTTCTCATTTCAATGTCTGTACTGGCTACCCTCCAGATATTGCACATGACATCTTTGAAGGCATATTACCAGTCGAGTTGGCACACTGCCTCAATTTGTTCATTTCCAAAAGATATTTCACCCTTGAAAATCTCAATGAGTCCATTAAGAAATTCCCTTACAAGTGGACAGACAAGAGTAACCGTCCTCATGCTATTCCCAGGGCATTCACGGTGAAGAAAACTATTGGAGGAAATGCTCACGAAAATTGGAGTCTTTTGCGATTGCTTCCATTTTTGGTTGGACAGTTGGTGCCCCCAGATGAGCCAGCCTGGCAGGTCGTTTTGGACCTTAAAGATATCGTCGAACTAGTTGTTGCACCAGTGCACACGACACAATCCATTGCTTTCCTTGAAGCCAAGATTTGTGACCATAGACATAGGTTACAAGAGGTGTTTCCGGGTATAAAGATCTTGCCCAAACATCATTTTGTGGAACATTATCCACAGATGATCCGGTCTTTTGGCCCACTAGTTGGGATGTGGACAATGAGGTTTGAGGCGAAACACAGTTTTTTTAAGCAGGTAGTCCGCCACACACGCTGCTTTAAAAACATACTCTTGTCCCTGGCGGTGAAGCATCAGTTCATGATGGCATATCATTTGGAGTCAGCCACAACCGAAAAGTCTAGCCTGACTGTCTCAGCTGTTTCAACGGTCTCTGTTGATATTTTGCATCAGGATGTACAGAAGGTCCTACAGCTGAGAGACCCTGATATTGCTCACATTCAGCTCACAAAGAATGCATCTGTTAATGGAGTGAACTACAGGGAGGGTATGGTTATTGCTCATGGCTCTGCTGGTGGCTTGCCAGAGTTTGCAGAAGTTATCCAGATGGTTGTTGTGGAACAGAGCTTGAGCTTTATTGTTAAAGAGCTGAGTGCTTGGTATAGGGAGCATTTTAGGGCATTTGAGTTATGTCCCACGTCACAAGTCTCTCTCATTCAACTTGGCGCCTTGGTAGACCAGTACCCCTTGGCAGATTACAGGATTGGAGGACGGCGAATGGTGACACTTAAACGATTCATACACATAAAAGGTTAGGACAGTCATTTGTGTTGTGTTCATGTGTTGCATGAGTTGACATTAAGACACTAAATATGGTAACAAGAGGGTTGCTTTACAGGAGGATTAATTTTGTTTTTAGTCAAATTGAAACTATAATCCTTGTGGGAATTTTTTTATGGAAGGTATCCAGTCCTCTGACGTCTTCCTTAGCTAAATTACCCTCATGTTGCCATGTATTATAGAAATGTGCATGTTAATTAAACTTACCTACTCTAACTTTGTTCATAATAAAAGTGTATACTTAAGTAACAACATTGTCAAATATTTATTTAACAACATGTTGTTTTGTGTCTTTTAACAATTAGATTGAAGAATGGCACGACATCTGAAGTTGAGGGTCATTGTGGACACGGATGACTGTAGAAGACTTGATCTCCATTCAGGAATGCCAAAAACTCTGACAGAGTTACACGATACAATTTGCCAAGCATTTGGAATTGAAAGAGACTTTCGTATTCAGTTCATGGATCCTGACTTCAATAATGATTTCATGAATGTTACATCAGTACAAGACATACAGGACCGAAGTACGATCAAGGTGGTGTACATACTTGATGATGTGGGTTCGAGTCCATCTTCTTCAGTGCAGAATGCTCCCAGCACTCCTGGATCATCTGGAGCACCAGTAAGCAGGCAAACATCTTCCAGTGTGTCGTCATTATCCTCAACAAACTCGGATAGCACCATTATTCTGCCACGTACAGACACTGAACTGAGAACACGTGCATGGCCACGCAAATTCCCCATTCCTCTCTTTCCATACAATGTAGAGGTGCAGCTTCGACGTGGAAATGAGAGCTTCAGAGAAACTGGCACTCGACTGCAGATCACACCAGGGCTGAAATCGGACATCTTGGAGAAGCTAGCCGAGGACATTTTCCAGTATACGGCATATCCACAAAATCTCCAAATAGAGGAGGTAGCAGGGGCACTCGTCCAAAAATGTCCCTGTTTGAAAGAACCATCTGCCACTGGTTACTATGGCTGGATGATTAGCCTAAAATATAAAATGGCTAATTACAGGACAAAGATGCGAAACCTTGGCTGTCCAGAAGTGACTGTAAATGCTTTGAAAAACAAATCAAGTGATGAATGCATCCCAGCCAAAAATGTAAAGAAACCTAAAAAGGCTGAAGTCAACTATTGTCCTTCACACCCTGCTGGCGAAACAGATGAAAGCCTAGAAAATCTGAGACTTGAACTATTGAATGATGTCAGACAAAGAAGCAATGCACAATGTAAAACAGAAGATGTCCAAAACATTCTCCTACAGAAGAAAAGAGGTGGTGCAGGGAAATCTATCTGCTGGAGAGTTCAAAGCCAGGTGGCCTGCACTTTTCCATATTGATGAGGTAAGTTATATATTTCACATGGTGAATGTATGGTGAAATGTCTATTTATCGTACACATTGAGCTGATACAGAGCAACATGATCATACATTTGAAATGGTGTTTCTGTCCATCTGATAAGTCCAATATTCACTATCTTTTAGCTCTGTTTTTGCTCTCCACCAACTCCTTAGTAAAGTATTTGGCTCTTTAGCTGCTCAATGTTCCGCTTTCCTCACCAGCTATTCTCTAACTGTATCTGTCTGCTGTTTGATTGTCTGAAGAAAACAGCTGCTGCTGGAATTGGGGTTTTCACTTTATACCTCAACATTTTACCCATTGTCAATTAAAAAAAGTATTAGCAAGGTTTAAACAACCATACAGCTTACAGGTCTAGTTTTAATTCCTTGCAATTACCTTAGATTAATAGAAATACTTTGGTTAGAACACACTGTACACCAATACACATCTCATCAAGGACTTGGTTAAAGAGGTCAAAATGAGAATCTATCCTTTAATTATATAGTAGATACAAAATATCATTACACCAATGGCTGAATGTGCTCTTTGTCTTCTGTCGTTTTGTTTTTGCATAACAGATACATGCTGAATTCCAGCGCATATCAACTATCCCACTTGAAACGGCCTTCATGGCGCAGTTGGACAGCCATCTACCTCAGCTGACATCTGTCTTCCAGAAGAAGGGAGGAGTTGTTGGCCAGAAACTAGCCAAACATCTGGCGATTTTGCAAAAGGTAAATGTGTGTATACACTGTTTTATACAAATTGTCATATACTCTGTGGAGCAATTTTATGAAATGTACCTGTCTAGTACCGTATAGAGCCCCATTTGCCTAACAACAGCCTGGATTACTTGCCAGGTGCAAGAATGCAAGACACTTTTCTAAGGAAATCTGATCTTAATAATGCAATAGTGGCATACTGGTTAGAGAAGCAGGCTTGTGACTGTAAAGGTGCAAATTCAATCCCCAGGTGGGGAAAGTGAAAAAGCAGAACCTGCCTTGAGCAAGTCACTTAATCCTCAGTGGCCAACAGATCAGACTGTGTTTGTACTTGGCAGATTCCAGGTGTGAACTGTGAAGAACAGAGCATTGCTCTTGGTGAAAAGTCCCTGGATGAGTAGAATTAGTAAACAGTGCTATCGCCCCAACACATTCAGACCTCTGACATTGTAATACATTTAAGTCACAATTCTTTAACATACTTTAGGTCAGTCCATTTACATGTATAATGAAGTCATTGCAATATTGTTATTATTGATGTATTTAGAAATATTTTAATTGTAATTTTTTTACACAGGCAACAAGTGATGTTAACCTTAAAAGGGAAGCAATCCTCAAGGCACTTTGCATCCACCTTGGTGAGGATGATGGACATCTCATTCGGGAGTATATGGTGAGTCATTGTAATTGCATTTGCCAGTCACATGTAGTGTTTTAAGATCCTAGTGTCAGGCATCAATTTTAGATAATTATTTTTTACCTTATAAGAAGCATGAAGGTTGAGCATATTTATATGTATGAATGTTGATATTCATCAACAGACTAAAGCATTTCAAACCATCACCTTGTTTCTTTATACGATGAGGTTGGCTTTATTCATTGTTTTTCTTATTGTCCAATGGAAAGACCATAATCAACAATGTCTTAGTCCACCTGTCAATCCTCTCTGACTTCTGACACTCATCACCAAGCTTATTGGGTCGTACGTAAATCTTTAAAAACACCTCACACATATTTAGTTTGATTCAGAAATATATACAGTATGACCAGCTTTGTTTTAAGGGATTAATAGGTATGTGAGCAATATTACAAAAAATGTATAAGATAAAGTATGTCATTAAAATTACATATATTGAATGAATACATGTTTTTTTCTTTAAATATACAGGACATCGGAGGAGATGACATCACCAGAGACCTGCAGAAATCTACCATGGGCGTATACGTCATCAACAAGGATGGTGGAGAACCTGGACATTATGACGACGTTGGGATTTTTGTTGAAGGACTAATCATTCTGGACAACATTGGATCTGTAGCCCGAGCTTGTGCCATCATGCTGGGAGTCATCTATACACTGAACATGGCTTACCCCAAAGAGCTAAGGTACTACTATGAATTCATTCAGAAAGTGCTCTTGCAAATGGATGGTGAAAGGCTTTCCCCCAAAGTCCTTGGACTGAAGAACAAGATACATGCTGGACTGTAGGATTTCTTCAGCCGCTCTTGTGAACCGATGCCACTAAAGCATTACAAAAACACCAGTCAAACCTCAAAGGTTGGGAGAAGAATGTGGAAATGTTGATGGACTTAGAAGACATGTATTACATGTATTAATGTGTAGGTTATATTCTCCTCAGCTGTGTAAGTCACATGCTTCATGTTACGTCAGGATTTATTCTCTGTCTGTTTCCACTGCACTTTGTTGCATTTCGTTTTTATCGAAACGGCAACTTTTTCTACCTTAGCCAAGCGTAAAACATTTTATTTTTTATATTGGCAATTTACATCTATAGTTCTGGAGAAGAATGTAAAAATATTACATGTATTAATGTGTAGGTTATATTCTCCTCAGCTGTGTAAGTCACATGCTTCATGTTACGTCAGGATTTATTCTCTGTCTGTTTCCCCTGCAGTTTGTTGCTGTCATGGCCTCCACCTCTGCCTAGTCTGTCTCTCCCCATGCGTGTGTGTGTCCACAATCCAATCACCTCTGCTATAAGACTCCGGCCCTGACTCCTCCACTTCGCCATATCGTAGACTCTGTAACCACAGTCAGTCACGTCTCCTGTGCCTGCAGCTTCAAGCCAGCCTGACTCCTATCCTGTCTCCAGACCACCTCCAACGTTGGACCCTGTCCCGCTCCTCCAGGCTCTTCTCCCTGCACTCTCCAACCTGGTCAGACCTCCGTTCCCTTGGACTCCGTCTAGCTTCCCTGGCTCAGACCCCCCTGCCCAGTAATATTCAATAAACGTTATTATTGTGTTTGAAACTCCTGCCTCCTGTCTCTGCTCAGCTCCTGGGTTCCCTGCTAGCCTTAACAGTGGCCAGATTGTACTGTTAAGGCTAACAGGGAACCCAGGAGCAGAGAGTTTCAAGCAAAATAATAACGTTTATTGAATATTACTGGGCAGTAGGCAGGGGGGTCTGGGCCAGGGAAGCTAGACTGAGTCCAAGGGAGAGGGGAACGGAGGTCTGACCAAGTTGGAGAGTGCAGGGAGAAGAGCCTGGAGGAGCGGGACAGGGTCCAACGTTAGAGGTGGTCTGGAGACAGGATAGGAGTCAGGCTGGCTTGAAGCTGTGGTTACAGAGTCTACGATATGGCGAAGTGGAGGAGTCAGGGCCGGAGTCTTATAGCAGAGGTGATTGGATTGTGGACACACTCACACACGGTGGAGGCCATGACAGTTGCATGTTTTATTCGAATCAGAAGATGTTTTGTGTAAGACACATGCTTCATGTTACGTCATTTTGTACAAGATAATAAAGTAAGAGTATGTATCAAATATGATGTTTGTTTTTTATTTTAATATATTGAAAGTTAACATAGTAATAATGGCTGAAAATGTTTAATTAAATTCAACTTAATTTTTGTATGTAGAAATTAAACTATTGAATTGATCTGAATGTACAAAAAGAAAAAAGGTTACTGTTACATAATCCATTTTAGTATACTTAACATGGGTTTAGTGAGTACATTTTACTCGGAATAGTTGAGGTGAAAATTATCAGTATAATTAAATTGAAATTACTCAAAATAGTTTAACTGAAAATTATCAGTATAATTAAATTGAAATTACTCAAAAATAATAAGTACAGTGAACTTAAAAAATAAATCTGGATTTAGATAACTTTGTTTTGTGCATCCACTTACCTTAATAAAATTAAGTAAATTCAACATAACAATTTTTTCAGTGCATGACGGCCTAAGTGCTTGTGTGTTTTTTGCTTTAACAGGGTATATGCAGGAATCCTGAAGTCAAATTTAATATTCCTACTTTTTAATACTTTTTAATAGCCTTCATTTTCTCTAAATTGATTTATCAACTTTTAATACTTTTTAAGACCCCGCGGACCTCTTGTTTAAGGTTCTTCTACACCACGACGTTTCAGTAAGAAATAATATAAAAATGTAATGTCATAATGATATTGGCACATAGCCTACACTATATCCTTATTATATTACATCTTAATGTAACACTTTAAAATGTCGTCAGTGCGTAAAGCTGATGATACCAATGTACTTTAAAGTCAGTAATTAAAATGCAGTAGCCTACTTTTACTGATCTTGTTTTTACATTGCAGTATTGAAACTTTAAGGGTATTTAAAAAACCTATTCCCCCACATGCATTGTGTAAAAGGTTTTCACACAAAAAAAATGGTCATGTTCCTGGTTTGACCATTAACACAAACAGGGAGAAGATACAAGTTGTTTATGCTTGTTTTATTTATTTATGCCTTTGAGACATTAGAAAAAAACAGGTTTTCCAGCACAGCATGTGATGGTCTTGCGTCGCAGCTCTAATGGTACTGTCTTCCCAGGGAGGACACCACCACGGCCATGAACTTCTCGAAAGCTGCCTGCACCTCACCAGTGAAGGCGCTTCCGAACCGAGCAGCAACCACGATGGTCATGCAGTCGGCCAGGAGCTGCAACACAGCAAATATCAGGACAAAATCAGCCACATGAAAGCTTGGTCATCTCTGAATATGAATAATTCAATTAGTTCCACAACGGTACCTTGAAGTTGTCGGGGTCCACGTGCAGTTTCTCGGAGTGCAGCACGCTCAGTTCGGCGTAGGTGTTCTTGATGTCGTCCATGTTCTTCACAGCCCGGTCCAGACCGTGGAGGATGGTTGTTCCGTGTTTGGAAACCATGGCATTTTCAGCAATCGCAGTGGCGTTGTAGAGGTTTCCAAACTTGCCGAAATACCTCTGAGTCCAGGGGTAGACGACCAGACACCTGGGGTGACAAGTAAATAAATAAACAGATTAATTATTTTGTGCATTTATTTTACGGGAAATAATAGCCTACCAATAAATAAATAAATAAATAAATAAATGTGACTCACCTGGCAAGGGTTGCAGGGCCCACCACATCATACTCAAGCTTTGAGAAGATGTCCTTGATGGTGGCGCGCTCGAAGTCTGTCCATTCGACCATTTTGTCGGCTTTAGATTTGATTCACAAGTCGTGTGCTGGTCTGTAGCAGATGCAACTTTTAAAAGAACCGCTTCACTCCTCCAAAAATGTGCGATTTGAATCCAATTCAATCATTGGATGGAATTAGAGAGTGGGTTGGCCGAGTATTACGCTTTTGCCAAATTGATAAGGAAAGGACAAATCTGCAATACTTAGATTGTGTCCGAAACCGAGGATATTAAAATGTTGGCGGTTGTTTCTCTGTTTATATCAAGATATGGGCATGCCATGATCACACAAAAAATAAATTGCTTAAGTGCGGTCAAAAGAACACGATAGTCTGTATGAAAAACGAATAGCCCTGCTTATGGTTGTCCAGTTTCTTTTTTATGATAATTTCTCAGGAGAATAACCAATTTGACATAACGGTCGTTTCATTGTTATACATTAATTTACCTGCAATAAATAAGTTTACGAAAAAGTAAATGATGTGTTTTTTATTATATGATGAATCAGTGGCGGCTGGTGGAAAATATTTTAGGTGGGGCTGTGGAAATGGTGATCAAACAATACTAGAGGGGTCCGGGGGGATGCTCCCCCGGTAATTTTTTTTGAGAAAAGACCCCTTAAATCATGACTTCTGGTGATGTTAGAGGGGGGGAGAAGGACAATTTGAGGCTTAAAAATATGAGAAGACTGATCAATACCTCCATAACTTCAGTGTGGTTAGCTATGAATCTTCCAAAACTTCCAAACACCTTGTCCTGGACATAGTTTCTATAGCATAAACTGTGCAACAGTACAGTAGGCCCACACAAACTGCAGAACACCGGGGCTTTGGGAACACTGATTTAATTCCCATTTAACCTGTTAAGGGGCTTTTTTCCCCCGTTTTTTTTCTCACGAAACTGTGTCTCAGGGCTTCTTAAAATGTAATAAACTATTCATGTGTCCTACTCAGAGGAAACGCATCTAACTGATGATATGAACCATGTTTACCGAAACAAAACACAAGTCTCACAAGAAGCGTCTAAATGAGCCCTGAGCGAAAAAATGCTAACGCACTCTAGGTATAAATCAATCGATATACTTATCGGATATGCACAAACAAGCTTACAAACTGAGATTCCACATATTCTAGAAATATAAGTATCATCACTGAGCGATCAGAACTCGCGACAGCGGAAGCAAATACAGACATCACACGACGTAGCTTTAGGTAGTAAAACATGGAGATATGCTCACCTTTTGCAGAATAACAATTCTGATCAAAAACGAGAAAAACGCAGCTGAAGGTTAATCCATAAATTAATCCAATGTGTCTGTCACTTTGAAAAATGATTGATCATCCATAATTCAATTTTTATGTCAAAAACGGAGTTTTCATTAGCTGCTAAATGGTAGCTTCCAGAGTGTATGACAGCTTCCTGTTTTGTCTCCTTGGATATTTTTTTTTTTTTTTTTTTTTTTTTTAATTGAACATTTTTTTAAACATACAAAAGCTTGGTGAGGATATCATCAACTTATCAACATAAGTTCAAGACATTCATTCACAATAAGACAAAAAAACATAAATAATACATCCAATAAGAGCCAGGGGGAAAGAAAAAAGCATAAAGGCACAAAAACATTTAAGAGGCATTAAGCTTACTTAAAATAATAACCATTTGGAAATGTCATTGCAAATCTTTATAGACAGGTTACAAGATTGTATTTTTCTAAGGGACAGAAAAAAAGACTTGAACTCATTTATGAAACAGGGAAAGGAGGGCTTGCCTCCTCTCCATTTACTACAATGTAAATGGTATTTACCCAAAATAATAATTATATTTACCAAATCAGAAATGGGAGAGTCCAAATTATCAATATAATATAAAATGTGATATATTTTGAAGGCCGGAATATTTGTTAATTTAAGTAACAACCAATCTCTCACATTCGACCAAAACAAAAAAAAAAAAAGGGCAAGAGAAAAATAAATGTTCCAACGATTCATCAGATAAATTACAAAAGGAACATGGTTCCACTTCAAATTTAAATCTTGAATTTAAAAAAGTAGAAACCGGGTAGATTTTATGAACAATTTTAAAATGAGTTTCTTTTGCTTTAGGGGAAATAGGCCATTTTATAAAATAAGATAGAGCTTTTTCCATTACAGATAAAGTGTCTAAATCGGTCACTTGAGGAAATAAGCCTCTGTTAAAATTGTGAAAAATGTGGGATTTCAGGGAAGCATTAATAGATTTGTTATTCTTAAGAGTATCGCCAATAATTTCCAAATTAGGTAAAACTGATACAACATTTGAGTACAGTAAAGTATTATGAATCATTCCAATAAGTAGTACAGGAATTGCTTTACAGATTTTGTTATAATCTTTAGCAGTACACTTTATATTGTATTTCGTTGAAAAGGCCAACAAATCTAGCAGTTTACCATTGCAATCTAGTAAATCACTAACAAACAAAATACCCCTCTCATGCCAATCACTCCTAAACAAGGATTTTCTGTTTATGATAATCACTCTATTGTTCCATAACGTAGATCCATGAGGAGAAAAATTGTGGGTAAATATCATCTTCCAATAATGAAGTATCTGCTTATGAAAATTTGACAATTTGGTCGGAATCTTATTAACCTCAAAATCACATTTTAAAAGAAAATCAAACCCTCCTAGACGTTTAAATATGGCCTTTGGAATATGGAACCACATGGATTCTGGCTGGGACAAAAAAGCTTTCAACCATTTTATTTTAATTGTTCCAATCATCGATTCAAAGTCTAAAGCTTTAATTCCGCCTTTATCATATTCTTTAACAAGCTGTGACTTTTTAATGTAGTGAGTTTTATTTCTCCACAAGAATTGGAAAATAATTGAGTTGGCTTTTTTTATATTAGCCGAAGAGACAAAACATGAGTGGCATGGATAAATAAGTTTAGATATACCTTCTGCTTTAGTAAGAAGAACTCTGCCAAAAATAGTAAGATCTCTAGTTAACCAACGACTGAGAGATTTCTTCATATCTGTGATACGGTTACAAATATTAAGATCTTCTCTCCTGATATAATTTTTAGATAATGTTATTCCCAAATATTTCACCTCAGGTACCACTCTAATAGAGTCAATAGTGGAATCATCACATGAATGGATAGGGAGTAATTCACATTTTGAAAGATTAAGAGATAACCCTGATGCTTTTGAAAAAATTGAAATTGTGTTAAGAGTTTCCTTTACCATGGATTTATTCTTTAGGAAAATGGATGTGTCATCTGCAAATTGACTAATTTTTAACTCTTTGTCAAAGAGGGTAATGCCTAATATTTTGTGATTCTTTATAATAAGCGTTGTTAATACTTGGGTGGTCAGAATAAATAATTTGGGGGAAATAGGGCAACCCTGTCGAATACCACGTAAAACCTTAAACCTAGGGCTCATTCCAGGGTTCAAAGATACAGAACTATAAATGTCAGAGTAGAGCATCCTAATTATGTTGCAGAAATGTTCACCAAAACCCAGAAATGTCAGAGTTTCCATTGAAAAGGAATGTTCAACAGTATCAAAAGCCTTGTAAAAATCCAGAAATAGTACAAGACCTTCAGTATCAATAAACTCCTGGTAATCAAGCATATCCAATATCAGTCTGGTATGGTTATGAATACTTCTGCCCTTTATAAAGGCTGATTGACATTCATCTATTAGTTGATTCAGACCCGAGTTTAACCTGTTAGCATAAACATGTGCTAAAAGTTTGTAATCATTACATAACAGGGTAATAGGTCTCCAATTATCCAACAAAAGATTATTTTTATTTGGTTTTGGAATTAAGGTAATAAGGCCATGTTTCATGGTTGGCGAAAGGTTTCCTGCTGAAATGCAATCTGTGAACGCCTTATAAAGCATTTCTCGCACATCTGACCAAAAACATTTATAAAACTCTATGGTTAAACCATCCAGCCCTGGTGATTTGCCACCAGACATTTGCAGTAATGCACTATCTAATTCTTCAATTTTTAGTCCATCGTCCATATACTGTTTAAAAGAATAATCTATTGTCTTTTTGAATTCTGTAATTTTACTAAAAAAGTTATCACAATTTTCTTTAGAAAAAACTTTGAGTTATATAAATGGCTATAAAAAAGTCTAATTTCTTCATTTATCTGGTCTTGATTTTCAATAGTGACATCATTAATAATCAGTTTTTGGATTAGCTTTTTCACTTGTCTTTGCTTTTCAAGATTGAAGAAATAAGAAGTGTTTTTCTCTCCTTGCTCAATCCATCGGGCTCTCGAACGAATAAAAGCTCCCTTTGCTTTTTCTAAATACATGTTGTCTAATTGAGTTTGTAAATTGTTCAGTTGAATTTGCTCATCCAATGATAACTCAGCTTTAAGGCATAAATTATTAATTGCACTTGTCATCTCTTGTTGTTTTTGTTTCTTTAATCTAGAAGAGTATTTACAGGATTTTATCGCAATCTGTCTCACACTAAATTTAAACCATTCCCATTTAGTGAGAGATGACATATCCAAAGCCAGAGTTTCTTTTATCAGTTGTTTGATCTCTCTACAAAAATCTGCATTCTCCAAAAGACTATTATTGAATTTCCATATAGGTTTAAGATTGGGACTGAAGTTGCATAGTAAAAAGGACAAAGAGATGACACAGTGATCAGTCAGAGGTGATCCTTGGATACGAGTCCAAACAACTCACAGACTGCACCGGGCGCTCACGTAGGAGCCCTGTGACCATCATATTTGACGACGCTGATTGGCTGAAATTATGTTTTCGCGGCATAGTTTACACGTTACAGATAGCAACAGTCAGCTGTTAGTGGCTGCTGCTGCACTGGTTGAGGGCTCCTCTCTTAGCGCCCAGACGAGAGAAGGTACACGGGCAAGGCCAGGCAGGAAACATGTGACTTATCAGTAACTTTAGACATCGTAACACAATTTTAAACGATATTTTATTGTAGATTATACATTTTACTGATACCAATTATATAATATTTACCTTGTTCATTAAAAATAAAAATAAAAATATATATGTTTTTTAAAATATATTTTTTATTTTTATTTTTATTTTTATTTTTATTTTTTAATATGGGAAGAGGTGCCCCTATGGACCGGCCGCCCCTATGGACCGGCCGCCACTTGATGATCCATATCACCGAGGAAGTAATACATCCGGGGAACTCTTATAGACGCACACACGCTCTGACCGCTGCATTTCATGCAACTTTGCTCATGTGGTGTAAAACCAATTTGCATTATCCCCACTGATACATGCACTCGTTCGAGCTCAATTTAACCTACATTGATCAGACTGTAGGCCTACTATGATTGCTGCAATTGATTTCAATTTGACACCATATCATCATTCACGAATTTGAAAGAAATGTCCTGCTGTAGCCTATTTATGGCACTTTAAGTTATATGGATATATATGGATTCAGATCATGAGATAAATATGAGGATGTAAGTCATTCAACTTAGCTTCACATTTCCAGCTTTTACAGTAAAGTAGCCAAGCATTTGCAACTAATGATATCATACATTCTTTTCAAAATATGCGAATGACGAATTGGTACTTTTACATTAGGGAAATGTTAAAGCTGACATAATTAAAATAATAATTACATTCTTACTGGCTAACGGACTAGGGGAGCCCTGACAGATATGGGAGGGGATCCTCTGACCGCTTGCTCTGTTCCATCCGGACATTTTTCAACGTGACACATAACAAACGCAGCAGGATGTGCGGTAGGGAGGACAAGAGTGTCAGGCCTTCAAGTTAATTCCAGTTAAAGTATTATTTGTTCAGGTATTCATGTATGGCAGACATTAATGCACCTGCAACCAGCTAACCGTTACTGCTCGGTCTAGGGTTACAGCTCGCAGTCTCTCAGCTAACGTGAAGTTAGCTAGAATGCTAGCACTATGTTCAACCCATTAGCTGGTTTACCAGATGACCGACAATCCATGTACAGTCAGTCACAAAACAGCGTGTACAAATCTGGCGACAGAACCAGCCCTATTAGCGTCATACTGGTAAGCTCTGGCAGCAGAGGGAACAAACTACTTTTCCGATATCCCTTCCAAAGAGTGGCTGAATGTCCGTCATCTCTGACAGGTAGGTGTAGCACAAGCTAGGTTAACATTAACCAGGATTCCTTAGTTCATCTCCTAAATACTTTATTTAAGAAATAAACTCTGTCTGAGGTCTCACATTTACAAAGCATTGTCAACGTTACAATTATCCCCCAACATAAAATCACAGCCCTGCAACATATTTTATCTGTAATGCTAACACTAAGAAAAGTGTGACTAATTTATTTCAGGAAGGGATGTATTGGCCCGCAATGACAACTTTTTCTGTTGTTATGCATTTGTTGTTGTACTTGTTTGTGCTTAGTAAACTGTAATTTACCTATTTGCTCCAATTGAGTGTCATTTGGTAGTACTTGTTAGTTTGCCCACACCCTGATGAGTCTGAGATCTGACTTTTATATAAAACTTTCATATCAAAGCTTTCACGGCAACATATGGAAACCTTGGGGTAGTTCCTAAATGATTACGTAAATACTGGAAAACTGCTTAAGCAAAGAACCGAAGTGGTCACACATAACAACAGAAAGAAAGACTCAACCAAGAACTATAGCTTTGTTATTTAAACATCTTGTTTTTAGGGCTCTATAGAACTATAGCATTGTTATTTAATCTCCACCCATGTATTTCTAATTGGCTTTAATAATCTTGTGAACTAATATAATATAATTTATTTCCACAAGCAAAACAGCGAAGTCCATATGCTCTGAACACAACCGGGGAAGGTCTTGACGATCAGGATGGTGATTCAAGGTATTTTATCGGTCTTCATTTAATATTACAGGTCTTTTTTTAATGCATTATTAAGAACATGACACAAAACCCATTCTAAGATCCACATTCACACCAAATGTCATTAGTTCTTTCCTCCATTTTGCATTGGATCTTATTTTATATTTTCAAGAAAGTTGTCATAGTTTTCAAGAGGAATTAAGGCCTTGCAGCCCCATAATCATTTACATTTATGGAATTGGGTTTCATAAAGCTTTTTTAATAAAAAAAAAAAGCTTTATGGCTGGTACTGCAAAATATGCTCACAATGTTTCTAAATGTCCCTTGAAATGTTTCATATCACCAGCTGCGGTTTAAATATGCTCACTTATCTGTACCGGTAATAAACACAAGCCTGTAAACCTTCACTTAAGATGAATAAAGAAACTAATACAGTGTATTGATGAATCCAATTTTATTCATCTTATCCATTTTTTATTCGTGAAATAAAAGATAAAGGGTTGACTTTTTTTATCCACTGAGGAAAAGAAGAGGAAAACTCAAGTCAGGTTGATCCATGTTCAGATCAGTCGACAGCTAAGTCATGTATTCCACTGTGGTTAATGGTAAGAAGGAAATTCTAAAGTGAAAACAAATTAAAGTTATGAGATGAAATAATTTAAAGCATGCAAAGGACTCTGTTATATAGCCACAATTAGACAATGAACATTTAAGTGTTAAAACTGAATAATTTGACATAACAGAAAAGATTGAGAGAAGAGTGAGATATGGTTAAATATTTCCCGCAGTGTGTTGGACACCAGCTGGCTGTGCTTTTAGTACTGACGGTTTTATTCAGCATTTAGTTTTCGTCATGCTTTTACTTAATGGATGGTAATGCTGGCCCCTCATTGGTTGGCAGATAATTACAATTATGTTTTATCAATTCAGCTCACTGACCAAGACGAGATAAAACGGTCAGACATTTTCTTTCTTGGGCTCAGTTTTCCCTACTGAAGAACAGGTTTTATATGAGTTACATTTTTACAGCTTTACGAAATATTTGACCTTAATGACCCTTGAGTGAGTATTATACTCACTCGAGTCAAGGGTCATAATAAGTAAATAATATATACTGGGATGAGAAAATTAAAGTAGCACAATCGAATCTTATAAACTTATTTGACTTTAAAATTATTATTAGCAGCCATTTGGAACCAGAGTTAAGCTGATACAGTAGATTTATGAACATCGTTTTTGTCTTATGTAAGACCCGGCCGTATAAGTTTAAAGTCATACACTAGCAGCTTTACAAAGACCAGTATAAGTGGTGCTCATTATATATGTGGCTGGTTATAAGTCACTGCTTACACTAGTTTATCTATATCTTTCTGAGGAATGTTTACAGAATATATGTCTTCATGAACATTTGTATTTGGCTTTAAAGATCACTTATCTATTAAAAAGATAGTTGGATATTCTAAAGTGGGGGTTGTGTGAGCTACTTTTCCATAGTCAGTGCATATCGTCAGTAGATGGCGGTTGGCCGGCCCCCAGTTTGGAGAAACCAGCTCGTAAGCAATGCATTAAACTGCTGTGGAATTGCAGCATATTTAAGCCACGTAAAAACTCAGTTTGAAAGGATGCTTTTTAAGAAATATTGCCACACTTTACCTTACCATCAGACGGGAAACTGAAGCCACTATCTATGCTTTCCCCTAGCCGCCTCCTTCATTGAAAAAAGTATTTAAAACTATTTTACCTTTCAGATCACAGACGTTTTTTAGTCTACAGATGCCTTGATTGGTTTGTGTTATTGTGTGACTTGTGGTGTGTGTTGTGTGACATGGGGTGACACCAAAGTCAAAATAACACAAACAACCAATAGAGGCAGCAGCAGAGCAGCAACTCCTGTGTTCTGCGAGGTAAAAATAAAGCCTTTCTCAAAGGATTCTGGTGGCTTTGAGAGATAACTAACGACTATAGATATCAGCTTCAGTTCCCCAATAGAAAGGGCGGTCTCACGGCAAGGTAAAGCAGCACAAGTGCTTCCTGAAAAGTCTGTAAAACCAAATATGGGATCAAATAAAATACTCAATCAATGTCCGAGCAAAGTTAACATCATTCTCTTAGATAACCAGCACTACCGTAAACCACATAATTAAAAAAACATATATTTAATATATACATTCCTTTGCTTTCTGGGCCTAACTCCTGCCTGTTTCTCTAAACTGTGGACAAGCTGACCGCCATCTACTGTAGGTATATGGATGTGTGCCTCACACAGCTACACTCCAAAATCTCCAAATAATCCCTTTATCCAACATGTTTCAACATTAATCAAATAAGATTCGGTCAGGGTAAACTGGTGTTTGCTCGAATCAAAAAGAAGACCAGCCTTTTCACATCACAGTGTCACATGTTTGTTCGGGTTGTTTTGATGTCCATTTTATGCATTCAGCCCAACTGTGTGTTGCATTTTCCCTTTTGTTTGCTTTTTTTCTTCTTTTTTATGGCCCAATTCCCATTTCAGAGAACAATCTCCACTAACTGACGAACAGTTGGTAGCAGGGTAAGACCAAATCATTCTAAACCACTTTCCTTCGCTTAGATCACCCCTGTCTTTTTTTATCCCCTTCTTTCCTTTTTGTGTCCTGTACGGATCCCCAACCCTAATCTAAGTCAAATCCTTGTGATGTATTAGTAGCAGATCCAGTGAATCAGAGCCTTGATTAATTCAGAATTTCATTTGTTCTCCTCTTTTATCACCAAAAAATAAAGAAATCCAATAGTTAGACGGAATAATTAACCTTTTAATTCACATTGATTACATTTCCTGTAGTATGAAGACTCATTACCAAACACAATATAAATCAAATGCAATACAGCCGCTGCTACACAATCTTTTTCAATTGTGTTGCTGAGGTAAGTCTTTTATGTGTTTTAATTTTTCTTGAAGTTAACGCCTTGATTTTTGTCCCTTTGATTGCAGCATGAGTAACTTAAGTCAAACCAGCATGTGTCTTTCACATTCTTCATTCATACAGCGACTTCACTGTTTCTGCAAGGCGGCCTCTTCCTCTTTCCTCCTCTCCAGTAGCACCACAAGATATTTCATTTCTACTGTCATTGATCAATTGCATTACAGGCATCTGATAAACGCAGCCCGTCTTATAGACAGGATAGTGAAAACATTTAAACCAACAGCTAATTTAGACTTTCTTACGTGTCTCAGCTGTTCCTGTGCTTTGACCCCTGATCCCACTTTTTCTAATTGAGTCTGTTCTTCCTTCTTTAAGGTTCTCTGACATCATCCTCGCCACCATCCTGGCCACCAAATCTGATATATGTGGTAAGAAGTTTGAACTGAAGATAGACAATGTTCGATTCGTGGGTCACCCTACGCCCCTTCAGCACCCTCCCATCATTCAGGTAAGGAACACAATGTGTCTCAATAAAGTTATTCTGGATTTAAACTTTTAGTGTAAACAAATAATCAAACCAATCTTAAATAAGGCAATCATCATTCATTATTAAATAAATGCTGAAAGATAGCAACTTTGTTAGCCTGTTCTTTGGTACATGATAGTGTCTGTATATGTTTGCCTCTGCGCTGATCAGCAGTCCTATATCCTCCCATCTTTATTAGACACCAAGGAGGTACAATATCAATAAAAAGTGCCATTTTAAATTCTCTTAATATTATTACTGTAATATGTTTCTTGCCTTTGGTCTTGATGGCCATTTCCATTGTGAACGAGCCTCAACATACGCAAACTTTAAACTTTGGCATGATGGTCTGAACATCAGCAGCTCTCCCTGTTGGCACTTCTCTGTGACAATGAAAACAACAACAATGTGAAAAACAATGCACTACAAATAACATATTCTATTAACAACTGCCTCTCTGAAAATAACTGGAACAACTTGCATTACACTGAATTTAAATCCAACTACACCTCCCGTTCTTGACTTATCAGAATGAGTCATTTCAGGCTCAATTCAAAGTAAACATTTCAGGTTTTTAAAAAGGTTGTTTTGTTGCAGAGATTTGGTCTGTCGTATAACATTTGCTTGTGCACATTTTATTTTTGATATATTTGTGAATGTAACTGTTTTTTTAAACTAAGTTGATATGTATACATTTTGATGCTGTGGAGATGTTCACTTTACATTGTTTATGTAAATAGTTTATTTCAAGCATCTTGTGAAAAAAATGCTTTTCTGTCCACAGGTTTCTAAGACAGATCCTTCCCCTAAGAGAGAAATGCCTACGATGATCTTGTTTAACGTGGTCTTTGCACTGAGGGTAGGTAAAAAACATAATTTAGATTTTAAATATTAATCGTTGAGCCGTCTGCTCTAGATTTTAAATAAACTGTGCATAAATGTTAATATTCACAATACAGATCCAATATATACATTTTTTAATTAATGCACAATGAAGTTGGCTGGCTGAGGGTGGGAGACCAATATGAGTGTTTAGTTAATCTATGTGTGCTGTGGATGATAATATTCCTGTTACTCTATCTATCTGAGAGAGCATGGGAACTCAGAGGGAAGGGGCCGATGGGGCCTTAATCACGCTGTCCAACACGACGTGCTCCTCCTATGCTGAGTCACTGTACCCAGAAAGACAGTACAGCTGAGCTGAGAGGGGGCGAAAAGTGCTTAGTCATGTTTAGTCAATGCCATCTACCGCTACTGTGGTAGTTACCCTGGATATCAGCTGTGAGGGAGTGCATGTTTTTTGATAAAATATATATTCATAATGGGGGGGATCATTTTTGTGTATACATTTGCACAATATGTAACCATTTACAATTCAATGGATTGACAATGTAATTAAGTATACCCATTTAATTATTTGTATTGTTCATTCCTGAAGATAACCCTTTTGTTTTTTAGATGTACTGCAATTCATATCAAATGATGGCAGCTGATCTTAACAATGCAAAGAGACATTGTTGGTTACTGAGCACTCCTTTTATATATTTTGTCCATCCTCATTTACATACCTGAACAAAATATTATAATTACTTCTTAGTACAACACAACCTCCAGACTTCTGAACTACCAAAGACATGAGGCAATAGCTTTTTAGACAGAGTCTGAAGAATATATGTATATATTTATCATATAAGTACAATTAGAATTTTGCCTTTCATTCATATATTTTAATTTGTCTCTTAGTGTGTTACCAGCTAAGATCTTTACGCCACATAAAAAAGCTCAAAAGTAATTTAAATATTAGGGATTATACATGTTTGACAGTTTATTCAAATCCATTTGATATGGTTACATTACATTACATTGCATTTAGCTGACGCTTTTATCCAAAGCGACTTAGTGAGTCACTTTGGTTACCAATAATGACTAATTAAATAACATAAACCCATGACTGTTAATTGATGATGGGGTGTTATTTATGATTTTATTTTCTCTATCTTATACCGATAAAATGACATAATATATGTACACAACATATGTAAAAAAAAAAAATGTATACCCAACAAACAGAGGTTCAAAAATGAAGGACATCATAGGTTATTATTAAGTTGTAAAGGTATGACATGTTTCTGACAAAAGACAATGTTTCCAAAACTTCTTCCTCTGTCTTTGCTCTCTGCAGGCGAACGCGGACCCGTCCGTCATCAGCTGCATGCACAACCTGTCGCGCCGCATCGCCATCGCCCTGCAGCACGAGGAGCGCCGCTGCCAGTACCTGACCAGGGAGGCCAAACTGATGCTGGCCGTCCAGGACGAGATCACCACCATGACTGAGAGTGAGGTTCACACGTCACACACCTCACTGCTGACAGAGATGTAGCTTGTCACATGATTAACACTTTGATTATGTTTGGGCTGCCAATTAAATGTCAGACAATAGTGAAACATTGAAAAGTCCAAGGTGATGTTTATAAATGTTCACATGTATTAATATAATATAAAATAGAGAAAAGACAGACATCTCTATAATTGAGTTTGTTTTGCATAAAAATGACTTGAACAATGAATTGATTGTCAGAAAAAGTTGCAGATTATTTTTCGTTCTCTGGAATTAAGATTGCAGATCAAGCTAATGTACTATGGTATTTTGACAATGTTCTCTGTCTTTCTGGAATTAGCAGAAGCAAGCCCCCAGTCCCCATTTAGGCAAATTCTTCCCAAATGTAAACTAGCCAGAGACCTGAAGGAGGCTTATGACAGGTGTGTGCATTATGTTCTTCTTATCATTGTATGTATATGGCTCATAAGTAAGATTCTAATACTCATGTTCTTGCAGCCTCTGTACAACAGGTGTGGTGCGTCTACACATTAACAACTGGCTGGAGGTGAGCTTCTGTTTACCACATAAGATCCACAGGATTGGCGGCAACCACATCCCCCCCGAGGCCTTAGAGCGCAGCCTTAAGGCTATAAGGTTTGTGTGTTCTTTTAATGTGCAGAATGAAAGGTTTCTACCCTCTTCTATGTGGGTTAAAACTGTTCAAATATCACTTTTGGCAACACTTCAATCATCATTGTGAAACTGGAAATGGCCTATCATAAATAAACACAAATACCCCACCCAAAGTCCCCCTTCTCAAAGCATAAACACATGTAGGAAGTGTTAGGTTAATACCCAAAAGGCCTTTTATTTTTTAAACTATTTCAAACAATTGCCACATTTGTATTCACTATATAAAACGTTTATAAAATGTACTTTTAATTGCAAATATAGGTTCCTTCTTTTCTGCCCTCAAAAAAGCAAGAAGAGAAAATGTGTGGTCCCCGAAAGCAGCAGCTTATTCATTGTTAATTTCATGCAAGTCATGCAAAGCTTCAAAATGAGTTTGTTATTGTCAGTTTAGAAAACTCATGACTCTATCTCATTGACTACATAAAGTCAGTCAGCATGCAAAGACATAAACATGACTACCAAGTAGCCTAGGATTCTAACAATCCCCTTTCATCTGTGTTGTTTGAATAGTCTATTCAGTATATATATATATATATATATATATATATATATATATATATTAGGGCTGTCAGTCGATTAAAATATTTAATCGCGATTAATCGCATGATTGTCCATAGTTAATCGCGATTAATCGCAAATTAATCGCACATTTTTTATCTGTTCTAAATGTACCTTAGAGGGATATTTTTCAAGTTTTTAATACTCTTATCAACATATGAGTGGACAACTATGCTTTATATGTTTGTTTATTATCATTTGAACAATGACAAATATTCTCATGAATATTAAACACAACAACCTCTGAACATTACAAATATTCGCCTCAATTCAACCTAGAACCTCTCTCATACAATACTGTGTGTGTGTGTGTGTGTGTGTGTGTGTGTGTGTGTGTGTGTGTGTGTGTGTGTGTGTGTGTGTGTGTGTGTGTGTGTGTGTGTGTGTGTGTGTGTGTGTGTGTGTGTGTGTGTGTGTGTGTGTGTGTGTGTGTGTGTGTGTGTGTGTGTGTGTGTGTGTGTGTGTGTGTGTGTGTGTGTGTGATCGTTGGAGCTATGTGCAGCTCAAGGCATATATGCCTGTGTGTATGAGCTGTGTTGCGGCACTATCCGTGCTGAGTGCATGCCCGGCGCCGTGGGAGGGCCAGGCCCTCCCATTTGACATTCCTGCCCTCCCCAATAAACAAGTTTTTTATTATTTATCAATTTTTTTTTTTTTAAAAGATCTTTATTTTTTTAATTATAAATAAACTATGAACTTTTATGCTACGATGTATGTGATGTCAGATAGTAACTAAAACAAAAAATCACAGGCTACGTCAAATAAATTCATGTGTCTGTTGTGATTTGTGATTCGTCCACATTTAGACCAATCACAGCGTCACACTCTGCCGCCTATTCTGGATTTGTTTATTGTGCATTCTGTAGACTCCCATTTCTGTTTGAATTACAAAATGGACATCAGAAATTGGCTTAAAAGGTCTAAGGATTTATTAAAACGAAATAGCGATGAAAGAACTGCAGCCGATGGTGCTGCTGGCGTCCCTGCACCTGCCGTTGCAGCAGCACGCCTTAATGTCACAAGCTTGACCTCGGCAAACCCCGGGGCTGAGTTAGCGAGCCCAATCCTTGACTCATCAAGGCGGGCGCCACCAACGCTGTCCTCCGAGGCACAGCTCCTTGTGCCCCTACCATCACCACCTGCGTTGCCACACCCTGTACCACACCCGCCAGCATCCTCCTCCTCCTCCGTGCCGGTGCCTCCACTACAGACGCTATCTTGCAGCACATCAACAGGTACTATTGGTACGCTCAAAGACCAACAGCCCCAGATGATCTTGGGGTTAATAAACCCAACCAGGTGAAACTGGATCGTTATTCAGGGAGATTGTTTTCAGGAAAGAAGCGCACTTTTGCCACTGCATGGTACAACAGACCATAGCTTGAATATTCGCTAAAAGCAGACGCAGCCTTTTGTTTCCCCTGTAGACAGTTTAAAGTAAATACGTCTTCATCTGATGCGGCTTTTACTGTCAAAGGTTTTTGCGACGGGAAACCCACATTACAGACTGATAAAGGACTGCTAAGACATGCCGCATCAAAAGAACACATTTCATGTGAGAGTTTGTGGAGAGAGAAACAGATACGCGAGGAAACAAATAAGGAAATTAGTACTTTGGTGCACACAGATCAGCTGGCACGGAACCGTTATTACGTGTCAGCTGTCGTTGATATTATAGCTTTTTTAGCTGTCAACCAACTCCCTCTCAGAGGTGACCACGATTGTATTCCACAGCATGTCCGAGTCAGGCAGTGGGCTCTTCCTATCGCTGTTTGAGTATACGCTGCACAAAGATGCAGAGTTGGCCTTGCTGTTTGATATATATTGTGCCGCAGGCCCGCAGCACATGACGGTTTTGTGTGCCCTCCCATGAAAATCATATGCCCTCCCTTTAGATTTGTTCTGGCGCCGGGTCTGGCTGAGTGTGCTGTCTGGCTACCTGCATCAAGTCAAGTGCTCGGCGCAGTTGTCGGCGAAATGTCGCTCCTCTGTTTTCATTGAAACAGCTCCTTATATCCGTTAGCTCAGCTAGCTAGCACCAGATGCTAACAACAACACGTAAGGTGTGCTTCGCTCGCGCCACACATACACACACCCTCCCGGTCCTCCCGATGGCCAGTCCGGGCCTGCCGGTGAGCGTGGAAGTGTGGTCTGCTACAAGCGGGCAGCAGGAGCGGGGCTGTCAGCATCAGCTTGTAGATGGTATTTTAAACTCGATGCGCTCTGAAACTACGGCGGCCGAGGACAAAAAATACACATGCGTTAATCGCGTTAAAATAATTAGTGGCGTTAATTTTTTTTTGCGTTTTTTTGCGTTAACGCGTTATTAACTTGACAGCCCTAATATATATATATATATATATATATATATATATATATATATATATATATATATATATATATATACAAATGTTGTTAGTCACAGAGGGCCCACAAAATGTTGTCTTGCAAGAAGTTGCAGTTCCTAAAAACTGAGAGTATAATCCCCCATCAGTGTGTAATGTGTAAGGGGAATTGTTTTCTCTTAAGGCCGATTAAAGGCTAAGTTTTATGAGTGACTTACTATTCAAAGCATCCAAAATAAACGTCACGTTTTCTTTGGAACATACTGCCCCCTATTGATACTTCATCATACTACATCAGAGTTGTGATCTTTTATTTCTGCCTTTTGACACTGCACAGGGTGAAAATGGTGCTCTGCTGAAAGATGATTTAATTTTCACTGAATCAGACACTCTGTTGTTCTGTGGACTGGTACTAAAGCTGATCCCCTCTGGCTTCTATTGAGTACCCAGTCTTGTCTGTTGATATATCATATGTGCTCTCCTCCTTCAGGCCCTACCATGCCCTGCTGCTGCTGGAGAGTGAGAAGGCGCTGCTGAACCAGCTTCCTCTGGACTGCTCGCCTGCGATGGTGCGCCTCATCAAAACCTGCTCAGCGGTGAAGAACCTGCAGCAGCTGGCACAGGATGCTGACCTGGCCTTACTGCAGGTGGAGAACAGTAGCACTGCCTGCATCACCACTGCACTCTACAACACAAGATGTCTTTTTCTGATCTCACAGGGCATAAAATAAGATTTACCTTCTACTAATTAAAAAATGTGTATAACCATTTAAATACAACCCACACAAGGTGTAATTAAAGGTATACATGTTGTGTTTCATGTAGGAGAATCAAAGGTGATGATGAAATAGGATGTATGTGCCACAGTTTGCTAAAAAAAAGTGCAACACTGGAGCGATATCATACTGCGTATCTGAGAAATTAAAATATGTACCAGTCAAAGTTGTTTACCCAGAAAGGTGTTAAAGGTGTCTTACTGCCATCTAGTGGACAATATGTGTACACTCAAAGACAATCTAAAACCACCAGTATAAGAAGTGCTTATATCTTCCTTCTTCATTTGTTTTTCATTTGCAAACCATATTTTTGTTTATTGTCTGATTTCACATTGCTAATAATATTTGCAAATGAATTTCCCTCAGATCTTTCAAATTGCTGCTCACTTGGTTTATTGGGGCAAAGCGATCATCATCTACCCGCTGTGTGAGAACAACGTCTACATGCTGTCTCCTCACGCCAACATCAGCCTGTGAGTGTTCAATGATTACCGTTGATCTAATAATAATATAGTTAATAATAATAATTGCTGAGCACTCACCTGTGCCATCGCCTCCTACATAGGTACAAAAACGAATCTAATCTTTAGTTTTCGTTGATTCAGATTTGTACTTGCACCTTAAGATTTGTTATGAAATGACTGGATTAGGCCATTGGCAGAACATGTCATTTTCTTCTATACACACAATATCTTTACATTCAAATAGCCTTTTCTTTTACACCATTGTTGAAAAAGCTACTTTAATGGGAAATCTTGCTGTTAATGTATTGTAATGTCGGCCTTCTCTCTGGATAGATACTCATCATTGGCTGAGCAGTTTGCTCAGCAGTTTCCTGGTCATGATCTGCCCTCGATGTTAGCCAAGTTCTCTCTGCCTGTCTCTCTGGCCGAGTTCAGAAATCCCCTGGAAGCTCCCGCACAGGAGGTAGGACTATCGTACAATAACAAATACAAAGCCAACATCCCCACGCCTTCACACAGTAATAAACATCAAGCCCTACAAAAACAAATAGTATTTAATGAATACATTTTTAAAAGTCTGACAGTCCCCCAGTCTTCTTTTAAAGAGCTGAACAATATAAACATAATTAGAAAATAACTGTAATATTTCTATTTTTAAAACTATTAACATATTTAGATTGAAGAATAATAGAGTCAGACATTGTGAACATAATCAAAATACATTTTTTATAACAAAATAGAAGTACAATTAAAGCATCCCGGTAAACATCTAGTATATAAAGGGCTTTTTCTGTAAAGGTATACGCTGCGTTGTAAGAGCAGAACCATCTGCTGTTCTCCTCCGACCCGTGTTGTTTTGGCATAGCTGCTTGAGCGTCGGCGCTGAATAATAAATGGAAAAGGGACATCAGCTCCAACGTCTGCAGCCTCTATTTTTCATGAGAACAAGATCAGAGCCAGGGCGCTTTATTTTGGCTCTATTTTTGAGCTAGTGTGGTACCAGTGGCTGATTTAAAATATTTGACCTGGTTAGGGACATCAGTCTGCTCAGTTTCACTTGTTCTGTGTTTCTCCTCCTCCAGGCCCAGCTGATCCAGATGGTGGTGTGGATGCTTCAGCGCCGCCTCCTCATCCAGCTGCACACTTACGTCTGCCTGTTGGTTCCTCCCAGTGAAGATGAGCCTGGCTTGAAGGATGAAGATCTTCCACTGGCTTCCCGAGTAGGGGGCCGCAGCCTCAGCACCCCGAGCGCCCTCAGCTTCGGTTCCCCTAGTATGTCGTCACTCAGCCCCCTCCTGACTAACCCTTAGTGCTATGACAAGGCAATAGATAATCAATGATTGTCTGTGTGCTTCCTCTTCATAGCCAGCAGTGATGACATGACCCTCACCAGTCCCAGTATGGACAACTCCAGTGCAGAGCTGCTGCCCGGGGGGGACTCTCCGCTCAACAAGAGGATGACGGAGACGCTGCTCGCCAGCCTGTCGGAGCACGAGAGGCAGGTTATCCTAAACATCCCTGCTGCACAAAATCCGGAGGATCTGAGGATGTTTGCGAGGTATTTAGACCCAAGCCAAAGCATATTTTGTGTTTTTTATCAGTGCATTAAACTCTTCTCAGCTCTATGCTTAGATTAAAGACACTCCACAGTGTTTGGCCTGTCTGAGACAAAAATTGACAGACTTCAATTCATTAATATTGAACAGTCTGACACAGATTGCGACCAAGGTTTTAATCAACCAATCTCAAACATTGTGAATAAACGCACACAATTGCAGCTGTTGTCCCATCTTAAAGATCCCAAACAGATGGGATACGTTTTAGTGGGGATTAAGTGAGAGAATAAGAAGTATTAATTGCATTCAAAGAATATTAGAACATTTAATTGGAAATGATCAGCTGGGTAGTTAAGATCAGTTGCCAGCTGTAGGTTCTGTCCATGTTCAAAACAGGAAATGTCTAGAGGAGTAAAAAAAAATTGGATTTACCCAGTTGATGATTCCATAAAACTGTTCTGCCTGTTATGTTGACTGTTTCCAGGCTGCTGCACTATTTCCGGGGACATCACCACCTGGAAGAAATCATGTACAACGAGAACATGAGGCGCTCGCAGCTCAAGACCATGTTTGACAAGTTCCGCAGTGTCCTTGTGGTGACCAACCATGAAGATCCCATTATTTCAATCTTTCAGTGCCCCATGGAGTAATGGCACGGGGACAGTATGCAGAAGATGTCTGTTTGTGAGCCTGATGTGCTCACAGCTAAGTGCTATTACTCAACAGTGTTGTTTTAAAATGAACTGATTGTTGAATGAATGTGTTTTTCCCTTATGAGCCAAATGTTTGTTTACAATATTAAATTATTTTGTACATAACAGATATGCCTCAACTCAGATTATTTTGCATAGTTGTGTAACCCCTGCATGTCCCAGATGTGTTAGATAATCTGTGCCGACCACAGAGCGGCACACTGCGTAACGATCATTCCAGACCTCCTGCTCCCCCTACTCTGCAATCCCAGAGGTGAGGAGAAAAAAAAGCAAGAAAGGGAAGACTCTAAACATCAAACAGGCTGTTTCTGCTTTGAGAGAAACAGAGCGCTCCAAACATCTGTGAAATCACTGAGAAGAGAATTTCCAAAGTATGAATGTTTATTAAAAACACTGATGGAGCACCAAAAAAAGACTCATTAATAAGTAAATATAGGTTAAGATTTACAAAAATAAATGTTCGTATATTTTATGCCCATTTGGATTTGTTCAGTCAACCAGTCATGGAGGTTGTTTTACCATCTTGACTTTCTTGTTGAGTTTTTATACCGCCTATGTGGTGAAGTCCACAAAGGTAACAGATGGCAGAGTAGTCACGTCTTTTTGACATTGTGCTGTCCTGTGTGAGACTGCACTTCTGAGGGAACCAAATTGCTCGTTACATTTCCAGACACTGACTGCCTTTCTGCTTCTTTATTCACTACGCTAACACACGGGTGCCCACGGAGATAAAAACGCCAGGGCTTCTTGGCCCATTCCCCATGGGACTCAATTCCAATGCGTGGTGCTGATACTATGTCATTGGGTTCTGCTGGATTTATGTTGGGGTCCTTCTCCAGCCAAACCTCTGGGTCTGCAGCTAGGTTTCGACGGTCGAAACAGCGGGGTATATTTAGAGCCTGGCACAGCTTGGAGGGCCCGTTGCAGAGCTCTTTGTCCTTCAGTAGTCGGGCTCCCTCTCTGCGTCTGGCTGCCCTCAGCTGCCTCATGGCGGGCTGACCCTGCAGGGGCTCCAGGGAGCGCAGCAGCACGGCAGCCCCCTCCCCTGGTAATACAGCACACAATATGCATCCGTCAGCAAGGCTCCACCCTGTCTCCTTCCTTTTGCCCTTTATGCATTGGCGATCAAAAACACTGATGTATTGGTTTAATGTCAGATGAATGATAAATATTTGGAGGTAGGCTTATTGTGTATGCACTAGTAGGCCAAATGGCATATGCTTGTACCTTCACTAGACACATTCATACAGAGGTAGATGCCATAGATTAGATAGACATAGATCGTGCCAGGCTTCATGAACATGGCTGTGTTCCTCTCGGTGCGTTTGCCTCCTGCTGAGTGTGAAGCTTTATCCTCCCCTCCAAGGTACGCTTCAGTTTCCACTATTCTCCCCCTCAGCTCAGTGCCATCTGCACACCTGCGGACCAACACCTGCAGGGACCAGGAACAAGACAGATTAGATGTTATTAAAATGAGTCACTTAGATGATTAGTCAGCCTACAGAAGATTAATTGTCAACAATTATGATAGTTATAATACATTGAATTTGAGTAGCGCCTTTTAAAACATATTGCAAAACTCACCTCTTCAATCTGGCTTTTAATGTGTGATTTGAGTTGTATTGCTTGATTTTAATGTGACTTTAACTATATGTATTTGTTGTTCTTTGGTTTTCACTATCTCTGTAAAGCGACTTTGAGCACCTGTAAAAGTGCTTACAAAATACATCTATTATTATTACAGTTCAACAGAAAACACATTAGAAAAGTAAGAAAAAACGTATGTTAATTAGAAATTAAAATGATACAACAAGAAAATAGATTAAGATAGTTCAAAAATATAAAACAATTAATTTATTAAAGGGTATATAAAAATAGTTATTTTAAAGACATTTAAATTAGGATTAGTGACAAAGATAAAGCCACAAATGTAATGCTCCAAGCTTGTCCATTTTTTTATTTTAAGCCTTCTCTGATAGCATAACATATTTTGGTTATGTGTTTTGGGATTTTAGAAGGTTGTAGCTGACCCATGGAGTCTATGGTGTAATCAACTGATGACAGTGACTGACTGAAGAAATACAAAGTAGTTTAAAGGTTTAAGAGTTTGAAACGTAGACAACCTGGACATGTGCATGGATAGAGCTTTATATGGCTTTCAGAAATCATCCTTACAAAAATAAACCGGGCAGCATTACCTTGCCAAGGAATGCTTTTGCCAAACTAATGCATGATTGTTTGAAAAAATCCTCTTCCAGTCTTTGATGCGGGTCATTATTGGTGAAGTAGTGGCTGTGCTCCGCCTCACAATTTTGAGCATTTTCAAGAGTTTCACAAGGATTGTTCTTCAGTTTAGCAGGTGAGACATTCAGAGTTAAATCCGTCTGGTTTTTATGCTTAATTATTGCTGCTTCTGCATCTGTCACGGGCAGCATCTTTCTTTTTCTACCTGCCATTACAAAACGTTACCTCTAAACCCTTAAAACAAATATATCCCTTCTACGACCTTCTTGCAGTCTCTTTGTATTGTCAGCAACACTTTTCTACAGTATTTAAAGTTAATATTTCACAATTAATGTTAGTCCTGAAGTGGATTAATGCTATTGCTAACCTACAGGAAGTAAACGGTTGTTTTGATTCTCTTAAAGGCACCGCGCACCATTTCGGCCTAGCAACTAGTGATTATGTTGCAATTTCGTGTTTCCTCTTCAGTGTATCTTTCCACCCTGCTAGGAGTAAGAGCCAACATTTAACTTTGTTTCAAAAAACTTGACTTTGCCACTCAACATTATCTTTCCTGCTACAAATGACAGACATAGGTAACCCCCCTCCCACCAACACTGACCTTTTTCCTGCTGCTGTCTTATCTTTTCAGCCTCATTTGAAAACACTCCACACTAATAAGAAGTTATAAATAGAGCTGGTGTTCTCTTGCCTGCCTGTGCCCAGGAAGTGGATGGCGCCAGTTTGGCTCCAGGCGCTGTGGTCCATGTGGCTTTCTGGAGGACTAACAGTGTGTGACATGGTGCTATGCCACAGACTACAACTTTATCAGGAGACTACAAGTTTGCTTTGTTGTTTTTCTCAAGCACTGCACTGACACTATTGCTCAAGACTGCATGCATTGAATAGAATAAGAGTAGACATGTAGGCCAGTAGATAGATAGATGGTAAATGCAGTGGGGGAGAGTAAATACATCATGACGTTTTTTTAAGATGCATTGCAAACAGATAACATAAAACTAATGGGAGCTCGGTTAAACTATGCAGTGTTTCCCCTACCATTGTCTTGGAGGGGCGCTGCGCCCCGCCAATGGAGCCCCGCGCCCCCCCTGAAATTCAAGGTGTTAAAACAATTATTTTTTAAATAATCTTTTTTTTTTTATATATATATTTTTTTATATATATATATAGCACCAAATTGCAACTAATCTATATCTACTGTCACTTTTCACATTGAACATGTGCTCTTTTATTAAATAAACTAAACGCTTTCATTTTAAGTTGTGAGTTTAGTGTTTGTGACCCTAAGAAACACTGATGCATTAATCAATAACAATAATCCACAGCTCCTCTCTCTGCTCCAGAGGATTAAAAAAAATATATATCCCAATTATGTATTGAAGTCAATGGCGAGAGAAAGATTATCTTTCGATCCCGTTTGAATTGTGCCACGAATTACACATATGATGTTTGTCAATTTAAAAGATAATTTTGCAAGTCAAAAAAAAAAAAATGTGTCGTAAAACTGTGAAGTAACACATTTTTTTGTGTGAAACGCTCAATGAACTACATCTCTGGTCTCGCACAACAACAAGATGGCCGTCACTACTGTCTTGCCAAAAAAGGGATTGACTACCCTCACTCAGAGTCCTGCACGAGTCTGATTTTCAAGACCCGCTCCCGTCCCGCACCCGCGACGTGCAATACCGTACCCGCCCCGCCCCGCCACCCGCACATATTGCCCATTAGTTCCGCGACCCGACCCGTCGGCACAAGATCCGCAAACCGACCCGAACCCGCATATCCTATGAGCAGTGAAAACGTGCAATTATTAACACACGCAGTTGCGTATTTGGCTCAAAAAGCGTGGGATGTTGGTTATTTTCTCCATCTAGGATGACACCAAAAGCCTTCCAGACGTTGGATTTCGCTCTTGAGGAAGAGTTATTGACAATGCTGTATTCTCTGAGATCCGCCTTCACCTCAGCCATTTCGAATGTGGCACGCTCAGCAGCAGATTGATGCGCTGCAGAGGTTATGATTATGCGCGGTCCCGCGGGGGAGAGGTCTGAGGATTTAAACATTAAACTAAATTATTATTATTTTAATATATATTTATTATGCAACACCCGCGACCCGACCCGCATCATCTTTGTTTTACCCAGAACCGTACCCGGAAAAAAGCGTTTGAAAAAATACCACCCGCGAATCACTTTTTTTGCGGGTCACCGCAGGACGATGCATGACTCTGCCCTCACTATCACCACAATGAAACACGTCATGCAAAGCTGCCTGCCTTCCTTTGATTCTCCCTGAACTGCCTGATCTTTTTAATGTTCAATGTCATACATTCGTGCAGATAGCATGAAGTAGAAAAGATCGCCGATGCTAATGTAGTGTTAGCGTTAGCATTTCTCCACTGGGGGCATCCGGGCTTTAACGGTGTATTATAGAATGATCACACCGGTGTGACAGTACTCTTCAATGGGTTCACGAAATATGACTACTACTCTTACTGTTTAACATTTTGGGTTACTTATGGCGCATTTCCACCGCAGGCCTCGCTCGACTTAGTACGGTTTTGTTAGGCCTTGTTAGGCCTTGTTAGGCCCGGCTCACTTTAATGCTGCGCTTCCATTACAGTTTAGGAACTGGGGTAGTATCTATAGCAGGGGTCTCCAACACGTTGATCGCGAACATTTCTGTGCACTGGTATTGGTTTAGTGAGCTTATTAGAGGATGTTCCCTGAAAGATTGTAAAATGTCAATGAAGATGTCAGACTTAGTATATTTGTTAATAATTACATACAATACATGGAATTTGTGTGTGTGTGTTCCAAGTGAATCTGCGGCCCCTTGGTGGCCAGTACATACATTATGTG